TCTGTAGGGTTTAGGCTAGGCTGGTGTGATGGAAGAATTCTGCAGTGGCAGCAGCATAGACATCACTCCACATCACATGTGAATCAACAGTCCTGAGAGAGGGAAGTGAAGCCCATGTTAGGTAGTCTATGGAGAAGCTCCTCTATTGTCACATTCTCTCTTCTTCTTAACCCAGAAACCATGATTTTGGTGGTACAGAGAAATGTGAATACTCAGGTTAAAAACACTTGACACCTTCATTTCTCCACTCAAATCAGTGTGCCTAAAGGCACACCCATGCACCCAGACCAGCAACACCAACCCTCTCTCTGCACCCCTGTGTTATGTGATCTTAGCTATGCTCACGGTGAACTCATGCCAGAATAAACCAGAATGACTATCTGAAGAGTCTTTCCCAAGAACCTCAGCTCTTCCCCCCTTGCAGAAGATGGGCATGAGTTTCAGGGCCCAAGGGTATTCTGCCTCAGTGGTGTTTAGCTTTCATACATTTATGCTGGAGTATATGATTTTTTTCTTTCTGAGACAAGGCCTGGCTCTGTCACCCAGGCTGGAGCACAGTGGTGGGATCTTGGCTTACTGCAACCTCCGCCTCCCAGGCTCGAGCCAGCCTCCCACCTCAGCTTCCCAAGTAGCTGGGACTACAGGTATGCACCACCATGCCTGGCTAATTACTGATTTATTTATTTTTTTTTTGTAGAGATTGGTTTTCACCATGTTGTCTAGGCTGATGTCAAACTCTTGAGCTCAAAGCAATCCACCTGCCTTGCCTCCCAAAATGCTGGGGGATTACAGGCATGAGCCACCATGCCTGGCCTATATGATGTTTTTATATTCTAAAAGGATCCTTCAAGAAAGAGGCAGATGTTTTATATTTGCCTCTCATGGCATCTCTAATTTTACAAGAGTGCCCACTCAAATACTCAATTTTGTACAACGAAGTATTGCTTGAAGGAGGCACAATAGCTTGAAGCAATCTCAGTCAATGTTAGTTCAAAATTTTTACAGAGGCCACTTGATGCATTCAGTAAAACCGGGAGTCAAAGAAATTTAACTTGGATTTGGCCATTTTCTTGGAATCACCACTGATGGATGTTGCTGGAAATAAGACATCTATATACCACCTAATAAAGCAAGATGGTATGTGATTTTGATGAGACCACAAGCAGCAGATTGATTTTCTGTCGTTAGGATAAAGTATCCAGAGGCAACATCATATACAGATCCAAAAAGTGCTGCATGTCAAACAGCTCATCTGGAAGTGAATATGATGTGGTTTGCAGAACTGTTAAAAGATTGGGAAAGTGGTTCTAGTGATGGGAGAGACCTGACGTAAAGGACTCATGTGAAAAGTTTTAATAAAATAGATTCAAGGAGTGTGAGAATGGCAAAAAGCAAAAGTATTATTTTATAAAATGCTTTTTGAAAATATTTACCTGTAACATTTAATGAATAGTTTTTTTTTTAACCTAGTCACACACACTATAAGGTAATAAGTTCAATGTAGTATACCTGTTGAGTGGCAAACTCATATATTTGATATCCAACACAATAGTTGGATGTCTAATAGGCATCTCAAGCTTAACAGGACCGAAATAAAATTCTTGGTTTTCTTTTCAAATATGTTTCTTCCCCAGTTTTGCTCATTTTAATAAGTGGCACTGCAATTTACCCGTTAGTTTAAGATAAAAACTTAGAAGTCATTCTCGACTCCTCTTTTTCTCCCACATCCCAGACTTATCTTCAAAATACATTCTAAATCCAACCAATTCCACCACCTCCACCACTACGGTATTCATCCAGCACTCATCATCTTTAACCTGGACTACCTCCTAACTAGTCTTACTGTTTCACTTTTGTCCTCCTACAGGCAGACCACTACATAGCAGCCAAATTGTGGAAAACACACAAAAAATAAAGCATGCCCCCTCCTGTCCAAGAGCCTCTGATAGTATCCCATCACACTGAGAAGATATCTAAATTTTCCTTCTGAGGCCCAGAAGACCCTGTAATTATATTACTATCTCCATCCCACCTCTCAGTAACCTGCTCTCCTTTCCCTCCTTCCTATCTACATTGCCTTCTGTCTTCCTTCATCACACTAAACTCATGTTCATATCAGGCTGTCACACTTCCAGTCCTCTCTGGCAGAACACCCTGCTTCCAGATCTTACCATGACCTGCTGGCTCCTGAGTTTCATTCAGGCATCTGCTCAAATATGTCCTTAAAAAGGCCTTTCCTCACCACCCTGCTAAAATTGCACTTCAAACCTGATTCTTTTTTCTTTTGAGCACTTATTACTGGCAGATCTATGACATTGAGATATCGTCTGTCTTGTTCATCCCTCTGTCCCTAAAATAGTGCTTAGCATTTATAGTTGCTTAAACATTTCTTTCCTGAATTTAAAGTAGTACTTGACTATTCCATCTATATCCCCATAAGAATGGTTAACCATTCTAGTGGGTCAACAAACTTTTTGTGGACCTTTTTGTTGGAAGCTCTAGTGGTTCTCAAATTTCACCATGCATCAGAATCACTTGGAGAGTTTGTTAAAGCACAGATTAATGGGATGCAGCCTCAAAGTTTCGGATTTTAAAAATGTGGGGTGGGGTTGGAAAATTTGCATCCTAACAAGTTGTAAGGTGCTGCTGCAGCTTCTGGTCCAGGTACCACGCTTTTAGAACATAAGAAACAACTGAGTCAAACATCACCTCTGGCAATGCCACTTCTTCACATTTTCTCTTCCCAATCCCTTGACCCTTTTTTTCACTTGCCAGTAGCACCACAGAAAGCCATAGGACTTGTGCCCCAGATCTACTCCTCACTAGGACAGCCTTGTGATATGAAGCACTTGAGGACCAAGGCTTCCATTCCTCCACTTCCAGGATTTTGCGCTGCAATTCTCAGGTTTTGCACAAAGTCGTAGAAGGAAAAGTGTTTGTGGAGCATTGTGCATTCTAATGATGTCAAAATTTGTAAAGGAAATGCCTTTTATCCTCCTCCCCTGCCAGGCTTTAAGCCAGTGCTTTCTGCACCTTAGGAATATGTCAGCATCATCAATACTAAAAGGTTGTGGTTCACCCCAATCAAACAGGACTCTTTTCCCAGCAATTGCAAGCCTGGGCAATGACTGATTGTTTAACTTCTGCCCTGTGTTGTTGGAAGGAAGCAGGGCTGAGATCTAGTTCTTCAACTGCAGCCGTGAGATTTCCTATATATTCCAGTGGGTAATGGCTGGGTGAAGGGAGAAGTTTCTGAAACCTTTCTCACTTTGAAGGGTGTGTGTGTGTTAGACTTCCACTTAGATGAATCAGCCTGGAGCCCTTTCAGGCTTCCATGTTTCTTTTCCACCCCCGTTTTTTCATGCACATTTAAAATTGAGTGATAATTCTGAGCCCCATTTTCTTTTATCTTGTTTCCTGATAGTCTCCTACTGCTCATTCCTCAGAGTAAAATCATGAAAGCTCTCTCTAAGAAAACAATTATCTTGGGGGGTATGACACATTCAACATTTACCTTATTTACATTTACAACATTCAATACCTTAGCCGTTTGTGATGGGTTAATCAAGCTTTTAACAAGTCTTTGAAATCAGGAGAAAGGAATTTTATGGGAAAATGGTAGTAGTGTAATCAGTGAACATCTGGGGTACAAGGCATGTCAGACAAGGGACCCTTGTGTTGGAACTGTTCTGTAATTCTGTTTAATTCTATCACACATGTAGATTCATGTAATTACACGGATCTACATGTGTGATAGAATTAAACAGAATTAAAATACACACTACTGCACTGTAAATACACACGGAACTAAATACATACACACACACACACACACGACTGTAAAACTGGTGAAATCTGAACAAGGTGGATTGTATTGTCAATATCCTGGTTAGGATATCGTACTGTAGTTATTCAAGATGTTCCCGTTGGGGAAAACTGGGTACATTGGAGAAAAGTAAGTACACGTAATCTCTGTTATTTCTCACAACTGCATGTTAAAATAATCTCAAAATTCAAAGTTTAAAAAAGAATTGCTGCGGAGAGGACAGGACTGGTGGATGTCAGAATGCAGAGTCCCCGTTTGCAGTGAAAGCATCGTTGGAGCCCAGAGAAGAGGACAGAACCCCAATCTAAGGGGAAGAGAGGCATGGAAGGGAAGATGAGGCATGCTCCTAGGGAAAACTCCATTTTCCTCCTGTCCTTAAATTATACTGCGGAGAATATAGTCTATCACTAAGTCATAATTCCTAGAACAATCATCTGTCAGATGTGAAAGCAGTAATAGTACTAGATGACACTTACTGAGTGCTGCCAGCTGCCTGTTTCTTTACATGAGTTATCTTGTTTGATCCTCTAATGTCCTATGGGATAGGTACTATTATTATATCCATTTTACAGATGAGAAAATCAAGGCACAGAGAAATGAAGAAACATAACTGGCAACTGGCAAAGTCTGATATGCTTAGCAGTGCAGCATCAACACTATTGGGTGCTCACCATGTGCTAGGTATACTGCCCTAAATGCTTTCTCTTCATGCTGAAGAAAGTAGCCTATCACATCTGGAAAATTCTCTGTCAGATACTGGCATCAAATTACCTTTGTTTGTTGTGTGCTTAAGTGTCAGGCACTTTACGTAAGTCATCCCATTGCATCCTCACAGCAAGTCTGGATGTATTGTCTCCACCTTATTGATGAGAAAGCCAGGCCCAGAGAAGTTGGCTGTCTTCAAAATCACACGACCAACATATGCAGAACAGCAAAGGCGCTCAGCCCTGAACTCCAGAGCTCTGAGCGCCGCGGCCTCCAACTCAGAAACCACAACCTCAAAGTCATTTAATTTTCCGCCAAGTTAGAGGCTCCTAGTATTCACTGACCAGGCATGAATCTATTTTATTTATCCTGGTGTGCAAAGGATAGAGATTTAGCATACTCATTTTGCCTAGTACAACTTGGGAACTTTCTTTGCTATGTGAATCTGTTAGCCCAGGGACAAGCTCTTTGTAGTTTCACGGTTCAATACACAACAGCAGCACATACAACTCGATGTTTAATAAGCCTTCTTTAATGATGATGGTCATGACTTTTTGCTTTGAAGGTTTGCAGGAAGCGATGAACATTTCTGACATATAAGCGATCTCTTCTTCCGTTTCTCTCCTCTTCGTGTCACTCCGGAGCACCTAGCATGGGACTGGGGATTTAAATGGTTATTTATCTATTAGTTCCTCTGAGTGAAGTGGACACATTCTGTGCTACATCATCGCCCTGTAATCACAAAGACTGGACGCACGAAACCGCGAGGAACTTGTCAGGGGAATTTCTTGCAGACTGATGGGGTGAACCAAATAAATTAACAGCATCTCAGCCGCAGGCTCCGGGTTACAATGCGGATTCCTCCTGGGCGGCGGGCCCCAGTAGGCTTTCACTTTTCTGCTGGGGCGCTCGCCCACTCCGAGCCAACTCCACGTCCTGGTTTTCGTCCTCGCCTCCTTCCCGCCGGCAGCCGGCTGCGGGTAAACACGCGGGGGTCGCAGAAAGAGGCGGCTGCTATTGGAGGAGCCTATCCAGGCCTCCCCTACGCCTAGCTCCGGAGCTGTCAGTTACTCGAACAGTGCGAGCGAGATTTTGGCGCCACAGCTGGGAGTGAGGCTTTTGTTCCATAACAAAAACAAGCGCCTGAGTGGCAAGGCTGCCAGCGCCCAGCCCAGCCGAGCAGGCATAAAGGAGCCCGCGTCGCGGATGTTTGTGACCTGTCATTAGAGACAGCTCCCTCAGCTTCCAAACGATCACATGGAGACAATGTGGCAAATTATGTTTGCACCAGCAAAGACCCTGCTCGAGCCACGAAGGTGAATACTGTGCACCGGGATCTAGTAAGGGGGGCCTGCTTGCTCAGGCGGAAAAACACCAACGAGTCATTTCCAGCGCTTTTTGTCTCTGTCAAAGAACTTCTGTTTTCCCTCTGCAGCTGAAAGGCAACCTTCTGGTTGAAACAAGTTAAATGATGAATCCAAGAGGAAAAACTAGGTATTAAGATGTCATAATGTAGTTCTCCCGATATGGTGGTCCCCCATTATGAGTACATAGAGATGGAGTCTACTATATTATTTGTTTGATGTTTGCACATATGATGCTAAATTAGAACACGTCCAGACCCAGGTTACTCTCTACTATGGAAACATTCATGTGAAAACCAGAATTCAAAAGTCAGATAGATTAGGGGCGAGTGTTCTCATTTCAGTCTTTGAGTTTCAAAGCATTCCAAAGACTTGAAACTCCTCTCCAAATCAGTAAAGCTGACATCTAAAGTGCCACAATTGAGAATTTATTTATTCAGATTTAGTCTGGTTAGAATGGAAGTACCTTTGAGAAAACGATGTTAAAAGATAGTCGTTTACACCTTAGTGTGAGTTTGTTTAATTATTTTTCTTTTGAGAGTAGGCTTTTAGGAAGGAAAGAGACTAGTTACAACTGAGTTCCTGGAAGGAGACAGATGAACAATATGGGTGGAAATGAATGCAGAAACAGTCTAGGTGTCCCAGAAGCCCTGTTTGTGGCTTCACAATTCTGGGAAAACCCAGCTTTTTAAAGAGAGGTTTGTTTTGTTTTGTCTTGTTTTCGCAATAATAGAACTTTCTACAGTTATGGACATGTTCTATATCTGCACTGTCTCATATGCGAACCACTAGGCACATGTGGTTATTGAGGACTTGAAATGTGCCTGGTGTGACTGAGAAACTGAATTTTTAATTCGATCGGATTTAAATAGTCACATGTGACTAATGGTTCCCATATTGGGCAGCACAGCTTTAGAGCATTTTAAAAGGTGTCCACAAATCTTCAGGAAAAAAAATTGCATAGTGTGGTGGGCAGCCTCAAAGACGGCCCACAACAGTCCCCACCTCCTGGTATTCATGCCCCTGAGTGGGATTCCCTCCTTTTGAGCATGGGCTACAACTAGCAATTTGTTTCCAGCAATGGAACATGGCCAAAGTGATGGGATGTCACCTCCAAGATTAGGTTACAAAGAGACTCCAGCTCCATCTGGAGCATCTTCTTTGGCTCTCTCCCTTGTTTGCTCTGAGGGAAGCCAGCTGCCATGTCATCAGCTGCCCTATGGAGCGGCCCCGCTGGCAGGGAACTGATGTCTTCAGCCAACAGCCAGCAAGGATCTGAAGCCCTCAGACCAACAACCATCAAAGAACTAAACGCTGCCAAAAACCACGGGAAGGAGCTGAGAACTGAATTCTCCACCAGTCCCGGCCTAGAGATGACTGCAGCCCTGGCTGACACCTTGATTGCAGCTTTGTGAACCAAAGACACCCAGGTAAGCCATGCCTGAATTGTAGACCCACAGAAAATGTGAGCTAAGGAAGATGTGTTGTTTGAAGTCACTGAGTTTTGGGGCAGTTTTTTACACAACAAAAAATTTTGGTATGGTTAGGTTCATTTAAAAGACATTTATATGAGTTAGGGTATCCCTCGGTCCAGAGAAACCTCCAAACATTAGTGTCTAATGCAACAAAAGTTCTGTTCTTTTAACAGTGCCATGTGGGAATTCTGGTGGTGGTATGAGACCCAGCCCTTTTTCCTTCAGGTTGACCTAGAAGTCATTTCCATTCCAGTCAGCTGGAAGGGGAGGCAGAGTGGCTCCCATGGGGAGCAGACCTGGGAAAGATGCACACCATTTCTGCCTATGTTCTACTGGCCTCGCTTAAATGACCACCCCAGACTGTAAGGCAGACTGGGAAATATAGTCCAACTGTATGCCCAGAGTGAAGCCAAAGCAGATTTGAGCATCAATCAGCCTGTAGGTTTTGCCAAAGCACAGTATTTTTTGAAGTGGGTAAGCCCCTTGACAAGAACAGGCCTTCATGGCTTGCCAAACCCTGGGATCGTGCAGACAATAATCTCTTAATAAATAATGGTACGCCGGGCGCAGTGGTTCACGCCTGTAATCCCAGCACTTTGGGAGGCCGAGGCGGGTGGATCCCGAGGTCAGGAGTTCAAGACCAGCCTGGCCAAGATGGTGAAACCCTGTCTCTACTAAAAATACAAAAATAGCCGGGCACAGTGGCAGGCGCCTGTAATCCCAGCTACTTGGGAGGCTGAGGCAGGAGAATTACTTGAACCCAGGAGGTAGAGGTTGTAGTGAACCAAGATTGAGCCACTGCACTCCAGCCTGGGCGACACAGTGAGACTCTGTCTCAAAATAATAATAATCATAGTAATAGTGATGACAGAACTTGAAAGAGGCTATTATCCTCATTTCAAGATGTGAATTCGCCAAAATTGTCAGAGTATTCTAGTCCCATAAGTTCCCATGACTCAGCCAAAAGTCAACCAAAGCAAAGTTGTGTGAAGAAAGTTATGGCACAGTTCTGGAAATGACAATGGAAAAATTAGGAAAATATTTTTATTTTCTGTCACCCCCCACAAAAAAATCTGTGGACGCATTAGCAGTCTCTTCTCATTCCTGCCTCTACCCTCTGAAACCCAAAACAACCTCTAATTTACTTTCTATCTCTGTGCATGTTCAAATGAGCATGTTCTAAACTACAGAGTGTGATTGGGGTGGAGTTCTACGAGCTGAGGCATCCCTTAGATGTGATTGCAAAGGTATCTGTCACATCTGTTGCTTTGGAGGCTGATTGATTTTCTGGAGGCTGCCCCCAATGTCACTGTCCGTCTTAGGGTTTATAGTGAAAGGGGAAAAAAAGAAAAGATTGGTTTTGTTGATTTCAATTGTTTTAAATTGAGGAACTCATGTGTCAATATATTTTTGCTCCTGTATCAGTACATTTCTGAAATGTCACTCCTCCCTTTTATCACCCTGGTCACCTTCCACCCACCTCCCTTAATGTTAACTTGTGAGCTAGTAAACATGGGAATGTTAACTGAGTATGTATCTGTCAACATGTGTATTAGCCCGTCTTCACGCTGCTGATAAAGACATTCCCGAGACTGGGGAATTTATAAAGAAAAAGAGGGTTAATGGATTCACAGTTCCACATGGCTGGGGAAGCCTCACAATCATGATGGAAGGCAAAAGGCGTGTCTTCCATTGCGGCAGATAGGAGAGAATGTGCAGGGGACCTCCCCTGTATAAAGCTATAAGATCTCATGAGACTTATTCACTGTCATGAGAACAGCATGGGAAAGACCCGCCCCTGTGATTCAATTACCTCCCAGCGGGTCCCTCCCACGACACATGGGAATTCTGGGAGCTACAATTCAAGATGAGATTTGGGTGGGGACACAGCCAAACCATATCAACATGACTTAAAAAAAAGTTTTGGCACCCTGAAGTAAACAACCAAAACAAAAAAACAAAAGGAAAGAAGAATGCTTGACACAAATCCAAAGGCAGGTATCTAAGGAGCTAACGTCACTTAAGCTTCAGGGCTCCTTCCTTGTAGGGGTCCCGTCTTAGGCTGAGTGCTGCCCTGCAGGGAGAAGCAACAGCAGCAGCTCTCACATGTGATGAAGCCAGGAGTACTGCCCAAGGAGGGGGCCTCTCTATATTCCTACTTTTTAACAGCTTTATTGAGATGTAATACGAATAACATAGGATGTCCCCTTTTAAGCTCTGTAATTCTGTGTTCTTTTTACAGTATATTCACAGACTTGTTAGTAGATTTTCATTACTGTAACCCCCACAAAAAAACTGTGGACCCATTAGCAATCTCTTCTCATTCCTGCCCTTAACCCCTGAAAACCAGACAACCTCTAATTTACTTTCTATCTCTACAGATTTGCCCATTCTGGACATGTTTTTCTTTTTCTTTCTTTCTTTTTATGAAACAGCCTGGATAACAGCTCTGGAGTAGAGTGGCATGGTCATGGCTTATGGCAGCCTTGACTTCCTGGGCTCAAGTGATCCCCCAACCTCAGCCTCCCAAGTAACTGGGACTACAGGCATGCGCGACCATGCCCAGCTAATTTTTTTGTAATTTTAGTAGAGACAGGGCTTCCCCACGTTGCCTACACTAGTCTGAAACTCCTGGGCTCAAGCAGTCTGCCCACCTTGGCCTCCCAAAGTGCTGGGATTACAAGCGTTAGCCACCTCGCCCCTTCATGGACATTTCATATAAGTGGAGTCATATAATACATGGTTTTCTGTGACTGGTTTCTTTCACGTGACATGATGTTTTCAAGGTTCACCCACGTTGCAGCATGTATCAGAGCTTGATTTCTTTCTATTGCCGAATAAAAATACCTGGTATGGACAGAGCTCATTTTGTTTATCCAGTCATCAACTGATGGGCATTTAGGTTGGTTTTATATTCATTTTGTCTATATTATATTATTTGTCTATATTCTATTATATTCATATTTTGTCTGTGCCCTGCCAGTGGTCCCAGGGTTGTAAGTGGGGTTGGCAGACTGCCAGCAATACCTTCACATTCGCCTTCCCTGCTGTGATAATTTGCCTTTGGCAGCTGCCGGGGAGCACTTGGACCCTATCTTTGATCCCTGGAAGAGTATCTGAAACTGAGGCTGCTCTGCACCCTGTGCAGGGTCCATTAGGACCATGTTTCTAGGCGTCTTGCTCCCTAACCGCAGGACCAGCCCAGCAAGGGCAGAATATGGGGAAGAGGAAGAGGTGCAAAAGACTGGCCAAGGCTTACTAGCTGCCAGGGTATTCATTGCCAGTGCCATGCCAACTATGATCAAAGAGCTGGAGTTCTCTGAAGTCTTGCTCGACCAACAAGCCTTGTCTGAGCAGGAAACTTGAGGAGATTGTAAAAGTGACACTGCCCACCATCTATAAGGAATTTTTCTAAGCTCTTCATAATTTTTTCAAAAACATGTGGTTGGCCCGGCACGGTGGCTCACGCCTGTAATCCCAGCACTTTGGGAGGCCAAGGCGGGTGTATCATGAGGTCTGGAGATCGAGACCATCCTGGCTAGCACGATGAAACCCCGTCTCTACTAAAAATACAAAAATTAGCCGGGCATGGTGGCGGGCGCCTGTAGTCCCAGCTACTCAGGAGGCTGAGGCAGGAGAATGGCATGAACCCAAGAGGCGGAGCTGACAGTGAGCCGAGATCGTGCCACTGCACTCCAGCCTGGGCGACAGAGCAAGACTCCTTGTCAAACAAAAAAAAAACAACAAACAAACAAAGAAATGTGGTCAACCATGATAAAGGAAAAATTGGATTATCTTTCTACTTTTTCAATGAAAAATCATGTTACTAAATTGTTATAGCAAGAGGCAATAAGAAAGAATACAGATAGGAGTGATTTCAGTGAAAATGGTGGAGTAAGGCACTCTAATATTTTACCCTTCCATAAAAGCAAATAAAAAAAAAACTGGCAAAAATGATCAGAAGCAACTTTTTTCAACTCTAGAAATTAACTAGAGGCTTGCAGCCACCAGGGAGTGTTTATTCAAGGAAAGCACTGAATCTCAGTAAGCTTTGTGGCATTTTAACTTAATCTCGGACCATACCTCACACCCAACTCAGAGGTACCTGTGAAAGGAATAGCTGGCATTCCTGGTATTGGAGCGACAATTAGAATAAAACTCATTTAAAAAGAATTGTAATTATTTTCCCTTTAAAAACATATGTGGTGGCTCTGTGGAAGTCTGCTCAAAAGGCTTGTCTTTATTTCACTTGACCTGGAACTCACCCAGTCCAAAAGCTATGTGGGGGTAGGGGAAGCATTTGTCAAAAGCATCTACAGGCACATGTTTTAGTGTCTGCTGCCTGAGGTGATAAATAGTTGCTACAAACCAAAAAGTTAGGAAGAAGAGGCTGGGAAATGTTATATTCATGGAGGCTTTGCAAAGTACATGCATATTCCTGGGAATCTAGAAGCCATGCCTGCCCAGGAAAGACCTATCAAGACCCTAAGCTCTGACTTCTGGATGACCTTGAAGCTTTACACAAGAAGGAAGTGAAGGCTAAGGCAGAATTGTAAACTGCCTGGCTAAGTGTTAAAGGCAGGCCCCAACACACAGAGTCTCTTGGCAAACACTGTAATATTTTTGGTCTCAGGCATTTGAGGAAATCTCTGTCCAATTATTGTTCTAACAGAACAGAGACTTCTATGGTCAAACATGACAAAGAATACAGACTTTACAGAATTAGTTTATAAAAATCATTCAATGAACAAATGAAAATAAAATGAACAGCAGCAACAATAAACCCTGGGGAGAGAAGAGAATTTATTTTCCAGAGTTGCCACATAACACTGAAAACATCCAGGTTGCAGCAAAAAATTATGAGCTATACAAAGAAACAAAAAATGTATGGCTCAAACACAGGAAAAAAAGTTAATAGAAACTATCTCTGAGGAGGCCTAGGCATTGAATTTACC